ACACGGGGATTTGAACCATTGACGGGCAATAGGGCCACCTCATCGCATAAGGGCTCGGACTTAAGAATTGAGTTCGCAATCACCTCTTCAGTCCTCTTAATCACCAGCGGCGATAGCTTGGTAATTAAGATCGGCGCGGAATTATGAGAGATCGCAAGCACGAGGAGGGGCAAATCCTCGCCGATTGCATTTTTGGTTTGCGTAAACAACTTAGTGGGAGAGGGGAGATTTGAACCACGTATTTGGAGGTGGGTAGGGGATGGCGAATCGGCAATAGCAGTGACAATTATGACCAAGAAGATAAAGACGAAGAAGTAGAGATTGCTTATGAGCTTGAAGAGTTTTTGGGCCAAGGCTTCAACTCTTGGATTTGAATCTTTAATGATTTTTTTCTTGTCTTTTTGATCGATCAATCGAAAATTTTGATGCGAAATAGGATAATTTAAATTTGCCATGAGATGGAAGAAGACTAGTTGGGTGAAGAGGAGGTTTATGCAAATTAGGGCTTCAACACAGATTATTGACATGAGAGAGATATTTTAGAAAGAGAGAACATAGAGAGAAAAAAAATGAGAAGAAGGAAAGTGGCCCTGCCAGAAAAGAGAAAGAAGAGAAGCAGTTGAAGAATGCTTAAAAAAAGTAGAACCCAAAAAGGTTAATATTGTCAAAACATTATAAGAGGAAGTGTTTTAGCCTTAGTAGGAATGAAAAAGCCGCGATCCTCATTTTATTGCACCTTTAATATATATGGCCGGCACACAATACCAAACCAGTACTATGACAATCAATCAATTCTGTGGCCAAGAAAAATGTTTCAAAAACTAAATCTATTGATTGTCAGCTTTTCTTTTTCTTTTGAGGCCTGTAATTAGTATAGGATGTGTAACGAACGGTTCATTTCACGTTGATCTTTTCTCCAACGTGGGTATTTTAAGTGATCACCACCAGAAGGTGTTGGGTGATGACACCTCCAAAAGTTAACTGTTTCAAATATGTGAGGAGCTTTTGACCAAATATATATATGTGAAGAGCTCAACGAGGGAAGTCACTAAAATTTGTTGATTGAGTATCATAGTCATACTCGACGAGGGGTAAAAAGACACTAGATGGAACTCTACATACCTAAAGCTTAAGGATGCTCGTCTTTCCATGTCCATTTTCCCATTTGATGTACCTTCCCGGCCATGGTCTCTTCTTCGAAATTAGATCAAATTTCTAGCACTAGAAGAAATAACAGGAGATTTGTTCTAATAGCTTGTATACCTAAAAATCTTTAGTAATTTCTTATTTGTTAATTGTTTTTCATGTTTAGGCTCTGTTTGCTTCGCAGAAAATGAATCATTTGAAAAATATTTTCCTAAAAATGATTGCTTGTATCATTTATAAAAATTAATATATAGAGCATTTAGGACCCGTGGTCAAGTGATGTAGGACACTACTTCAACACCCCTTCTCACTTGCAAGCCACATTATAAGGGCACGTGGAATTTGACTGATGAGGTAGGATGCACATTCACAAAAGGGATTATACTGCCTCTGATACCATATTAGATTTTATGAGATCAGTGCTAACTGTTCTAAAAAGTTAAGCTATTAGATAAAAGTGTGGTTTAATATCTAAATATTCCAACACATACGATGACATCCATAATTAAGGCAAAATCAGGAAATCTACCATCAATTATCATGGAAACAGATGAAAAAATGTTGAGGGCTAAGCAAGATAGTCACTTTAACTCTCGATATGCTTTCGGTCCTTCTTGTTGGTTAAGACGATCGAAGCTGAAGCTAAAATGGGGTCTTTTTCTTTGGCTCCTTCTCATTTGGCTTCATTTACCCACAAGAGCCATGTCCTCCCGTCCATTGTATAGACTTCAAATTTTTTTTTTAAATGCCACGTTAGACTTAAAAATTCACTAGAAAAGCCACGTAGAACAAATCGCCGGAATATCTCACCAGAGGCATTGTAACGACCCGGTCCGACGAGGGCGGGGAGTGGTCGCCGGGGCCAGAGGGCCTGGACAAGGAGCGGCTCCTGGCAGGCTTCTAGGATGGCAATGGGGGGCATGTCTCTTGTCCCACATCGCTTAGGGGGAGAGTCCTGGGCTAGTTTATAAGGCTTGGGTTCTCTATTCTGTGTAACGCGTTTTAAAGCCGTGAGGGTCAGTGGGCCCAAAGCGGACAATATTACACAGTGTAGATCCCGGGTCCTTACAAATGGTATCAGAGCCGACTCCCGACCGCGTGTGGGGCCACAGCGAGGACGCTGTGCTCGAAGGAGGGGAGAATGTAACGACCCGGTCCGACGAGGGCGTGGAGTGGTCGCCGGGGCCAGAGGGCCTGGACAAGGAGCGGCTCCTGGCAGGCTTCTAGGATGGCAAGGGGGGCATGTCTCTTGTCCCACATCGCTTAGGGGGGGAATCCTGGGCTAGTTTATAAGACTTGGGTTCTCTATTATGTGTAACGCGTTTCACATGGGCTTGCTTCCGCTGCGCATGATGAGAACAAAGCCTTGAGGGGAAGGGCCAGAGAGCGCCCCAAAGAGGACAATATTGGGCTTGGGGGAGGAAGGGCCAGAGAGCGCCTCTACCCAAGTCAACGCGTTTTAAAGCCGTGAGGGTCAGTGGGCCCAAAGCGGACAATATTACACAGTGTAGATCCCGGGTCCTTACAATATTGTAAGGACCCGGGATCTACACTGTGTAATATTGTCCGCTTTGGGCCCACTGACCCTCACGGCTTTAAAACGCGTTGCACAGAATAGAGAACCCAAGCCTTATAAACTAGCCCAGGACTCCCCCCCTAAGCGATGTGGGACAAGAGACATGCCCCCCATTGCCATCCTAGAAGCCTGCCAGGAGCCGCTCCTTGTCCAGGCCCTCTGGCCCCGGCGACCACTCCCCGCCCTCGTCGGACCGAGTCGTTACATTCTCCCCTCCTTCGAGCACAGCGTCCTCGCTGTGGCCCCACACGCGGTCGGGAGTCGGCTCTGATACCATTTGTAAGGACCCGGGATCTACACTGTGTAATATTGTCCGCTTTGGGCCCACTGACCCTCACGGCTTTAAAACGCGTTTCACACAAGCTTCCGCTGTGCTAAGAACAAAGCCTTGAGGGGTGGGTCTGGCCTGTGGGCTTGCGCCCCAAAGAGGACAATATTGGGCTTGGGAGAGGAAGGGCTAGAGAGCGCCTCTGCCCATGATAATGCGTTTTAAAGCCGTGAGGGTCAGTGGGCCCAAAGCGGACAATATTACACAGTGTAGACCCCGGGTCCTTACAGTCATTGTAGTGATCGATTTTCCATTAATGTGGCACTCAAGTGATCAAAAAAGTTATATGGTACTCATGGTGTCCTTTTTTCCCACAAAAAGCTCCACACCAAAAGAAGAAATATGTGGAAGAGAGAATTATGTAATTTATGTATATTTTTGTGTATGTCGTAACGAAGAGTACATGAGCCTAACAAGATTATTCAATCGGAGATATGTACAGTCAAAGAAGATAAATACACAATCTCAAGTGATATGAAATATTAAGGAAATATCATGAATATCTCTAACTATGCATCTTCCGACTTTAATTTTTACTAAAAAATTAAATAAAATATGTTGTCTCGTTTAAGATAACTAATAAAAGTAAATTAGCAATAGTGGACAAAATAGAAACAATTATTAGGCCAATTATCGTGAAAAGCCTAGAATTTTTCACTTTTCTTTTTATCAAATCAGTATCTAAAATAATAAAACAATTCTCCCGGAGACCATCGAATATGAACAGTAAGAAAATTCTCTCGAACGTCTTTGCGACGTCAGGTCAAGAATAAATGCAAAGCACTGTATAAGAAATAGACCGAACGTCGTATAAAATACCCAAGCTCGAAGATCTCCGCTCTCGAAGCCGAAGGTCGTTTGCTGTCGATTGCAAATATCACAAAAATCACGGGTAGCAACTATGGGAGACGCACCACCGAAAAAAGCTACATTCAGGCTATTCAGCTGCCCCTAATGAATAGGGCGTCGCTGATACAAGATCGATATGAGTTTGGTTAGGGTGGCTTTGAATTGTAGGACTTGTCTCACATTCAAACTAAGACACCACCAAACTGCCTTTCCCTCGTACGTTTTGTCGTACCACGCCCACAGATAGAAAATCTGCTATGATGGTTGTTGCACATGAATGAGCTCTAATTGAAGCTTCTATTATTGATTGGTTGAACGAAGGGGTCCCATACCTAAGTCACAATCTAGGACAATAGTTATTCACGATTTAGTGAAATTACTTCTTCTAACAATAAAGTCTAATTATATCCGAACTTCATCAAGTATCTCACAAAAGAACACAAAGTTTGGCTTCCAACCCAAAAAGTCCGCCCTTTTAGCTTCTATCTATAGTAGTTGTTAGAAATTTGACATGTTGATCGGAATGTACTATATGTGTCTCGGATTTAGGTGACATGGAGCGAGGGCAAATAAAAAGACGGCCGCATCACTCCATAAATTGCTAAAGAAAAGTGAGAAATATTAGTTAGTCTTTACTTTCCAACCTAGTGAGAGGCCACTCCACTCACTGATCATCACGTGTCCAAATGGCATCTACTCGTCGGAGCTTTCAAAACCAAAAGAAGAATCACATGGGACGCAAACTTTCTCATTCACAGCATCCAGCAAGGACTTCTGTCGTGGCTCGAGCGTTAGTTAGTGTTCAAATTCATTAATTAATCAAATCTAGCTATTAGCAATAGGTTAGACGAGAATCTTCTCCTTGCTTCTATTGTGTGTACCAACATAGAGAACGCGAGATGTAGCTTTCGACTGACCCATCTAAACCATCTACTAATCATATGATCAATATAGCAAAAATTGGAAGCTACCCAGATGCCACCATAGTCACCAGAACTGATAAATTATAAAGAAAATAGTATGATTAAATTACTTCCCTTGAAGGGTACGTGAGCATCTTCAAAATTTTTCATTTTTAAATTTTATTTTTTGGAATCTCTCCTTTCTCTCTCTCTCCCTCCATTAATGTTGAAGCAGGCTTCCTTACTGATAAAACAATCTCTCTCCCTTTGCTTCTTCGCTTCCTCTTCTCTTTTTCTTCGCTTCCTCGGCTTCCCCTTTAGGCAAAGCAAATCATCTCCGTCCGACAATGGCCTTACACTGCAAAATCACCTCTTCACTCTGCACTTGACCTCTCTTCTTCAACCCTCACTTCAGCCATCTCCGAATGCCCTACTCTTCTCGCTCTCTCTCAAGACCCCTCCTCTCTTGCAGCCCACCCACCACGGCCCTTGCTTCCATGGCTTCGCATTCAAAACAGCGAGCCCGACAGCCTCGGACTCGGCCCGGATCGTTCGGAAAGTTTTCCTCTTCCTGCCCAAGGTCGATCCGGCCGAGGGTCACGCCCAGATTAAGGAAGTGAAGTTCGTGAAGAGCAGTGGGAGGGCCAAGGATTGTCCCGAAATGGGAGGCCCGAGTTTGCAATTATGGGTCCGTCTAATGGGGGCAAGTCTTGGCATATCAATGCTCTGGTTCAGAGGAAGAAGGAAGTTACAGTTAAATCCAAGAAACCAGGTCCTTTCTATTCCTTATGGTTTTACTTTTTTCGCGTGGGATGGGCTGATTGATTGATGTATTTTGCAGGCAAGAGAGCTTATAAATCACTTCTTGGTGAACAAGAGTTGGTACGTTGTGGATTTGCTGGGTTACGGGTGAGCTTTAAGCATCTGGCTTTTGGCTTGCTTAAATTTTTCAGCTGTGTGGCGGCTTATAAATGCAAAAAAAAATCGCAGAATGTGAGCTAATATGTAAGTTTTGTTTCTGGGAATGCTGCAACTAATCGAGTGAGGTAAGTAGTCGATTCAAAGCTGTTAGAGTGGGAAACTGGAAAATCGTTGGATCACAACTTGTTGACGAGCCTTCAAAACTTGATTAATTGCGCTCAAATGGTTTAAGCATTTTTTACCTGTCACTTTGGATATGCCAAGGTAGTAATTCTTTCAGCTAACATGTAGAGGCTGGAAATTCCGTCTCCAACTTAAGGTCTTTCTGTTCCTCACGTAGTGGACCCTTTGACAAGCGGCAAAGGATTAGTTTCCGTCTTTCGATATAAATCGTGAAGTGGAAGAAGTAAATTTTTACATGCTTTGTCTTCATACTATGCTTTTTCATTGTTGCCTTTGTCAATCAACAGTTCCATGGAATGAGTAGAATAAAAATAAACAGTTAAAGGATTCTTCGAGCTAAAAGATTAGTTTTGCTAATTAACTCTCCCACAAAAATAGCTCTCCATTCACTCTTTTCATTGCCGCTTATCTATCATAGCTGACAGAGGATACGAGTAAAAATTACCAAGTCAGTGAGTAGAATGTTGATAAACAAAGGTCGACTCAAGTGACAAAAAGGCTCCGTTGACGGAGTGAGAATGAAGTAACCATCCAAGTATTGAAGCCAACAATTTTGGATGCAACTGCATGAGAGATATTCGTTCAAGGGGGAACTTAAGGCAATCGTAGAGTAGTGAAGCCAAGAAGTTCATGAGCAACCGATAGTGAAAATTGGGCAAAAGGACACTATAAGTGCCATAACTTGTGTACGGAGATCATTTTGGTGCCATAACTTTTTTTCGGATCACTTTGGTGCCAAGTCGGAGGAAAAACGATCACTTAAGTGTCATAAGTTTTTTTTGGATCACTTCAGTTCTAAAATTTTTGAAAAACGATCACTTAAGTGCTAAAATTTTTTAAAAACGATCATTTAAGTGCTAAAAATTTTGAAAAACGATCACTTAAGTGCCAATCTCCGGCGAGCCACGTCAGCTTCAGAAATTAATAAAAAAAATGCCACATCGGATTTCCGACGAAAAATTGTGTACGGCACCGGAGTTGGCACTTAAGTGATCGTTTTTCAAAAATTTTAGCACTTAAGTGATCCAAAAAAAACTTATGGGACCAAAGTGAGCGCCGTACACAAGTTATGGCACTTGTAGTGTTCTTTTGCCGTGAAAATTGTGGAAAAGTGGAAAGGACAACCGTGGAAGTAGCGGAGAAGAAGCAATTATTGAAGTGGTAGAGTGGTTCATTTTTTAGTAACTGTTGGTAATAGAGATTGCTGAATTGTAAGAATTGCATAGGGTATATTCAATTTCTTTTTTAATCGTTGATAACTATCGGTAGTAGATATAAATACTTCAATTGTAGTTTGTAGAAGAGACCGCCAATCAATCAAAGAAAACCAATAGTTCAATTTTTTCTTCCTATTTTTAATATTTCATTACCTTTACATGGTTGACATGATTATCTCCAATCTCACATTTTTAATTTTCTCTTGGTTTGCGTTTCCTGTTTAAGAATTAACAAAGGACTATTTATACCCTTTGTTGAATTACTCATCGATCCATGCTTTGAAATGTATTTCCTCAACACTTTTCGACAAAACAAGTTGATTGGATTACAATTACATCTAGCAAGCTCGTGCTATGCATGGGAATTGATGGATTAATTTCTTGGTTACTCCAAAATCCATTAGATATTATTAGCAATGCGCTAATCTGTGGCAAATCATTAATGAAATTAGACATATAAAGAAATATGAATGATAACTTTGTTGGGAAAATTACCAAAAAAGTCATAAACCTTTTGTAAATGTGCCAATTCAGTCCTAAACCTTTTTTTTTTTGCCATTTCAGTCCTAAACCTTTTACAATTGTGCCAATTCAGTCCACCCGGCCACTTTTGGTCGGCCGGCGCTGACGTGGACGCCGGCCAGCGCCTACCGGCGCCGGCCTGCTGACGTGGCATTATTTTAATATTTTTTTCCTTCTTCCCCCTGGCCGGACCGGCCAGGGGGAGGCTCGCCGGCGAGGTGACCTCACCGGCCATGGCGAAGCCGACCTCGCCGGCCATGGGCGAGGTCGAGCTCGCCCGGCCATGGCGAGGTCGAGCTCGCCGGCCATGGGCGAAGTCGACCTCGCCCGGCCATGGCGAGGTCGAGCTCGCCGGCCATGGGCGACGGCGAGGCCTCGCCCGGATATGGCGAGACCTCGCCGTCGGCCGGGCGAGGTCGAGCTCGCCCGGCGACGGCGAGGTCTCGCTAGATCCGGGCGAGGCCTTGCCTTCGCCGGGCGAGCTCGACTTCGCCCATGGCCGGCGAGCTCGACCTCACCATGGCCGGGCGAGGTCGACCTCGCCCGGCCGACGACGAGGTCTCGCCGGATCCGGCGAGGCCTCGCCGTCGGCCGGGCGAGCTCGAGCTCGCCGGCCATGGGCGAGGTCGAGCTCGCCGGCGACGGCGAGGCCTCGCCCGGATCTGGCGAGACCTCGACGTCGCCGGGCATGCCCAACCTCGCCCAGCAACGGCGAGGTCTCGCCAAATCTGGGCGAGGTCTCGCCAGATCTGGGCGAGGCCTCGCCGTCGCCGGGCGAGCTCGGCCTCGCCCATGGCCGGCGAGCTCAACCTCGCCGTCGCCGGGCGAGCTCGGCCTCGCCCATGGCCGGCGAGGTCGACCTCGCCATGGCCGGGCGAGGTTTTTGAGCGAGGCCTCGCCGTCGCCCATGGCCGGCGAGCTCGACCTCGCCATGGTCGGGCGAGGTTGTAACAGTCTGAATTTTCGATCCTTTTCCCGGGATCTATGAAATGAATATTTTGGCCAATGCACTTGTAGTGAAATCTCACCCGGAAATGCGCATTCACGGGATGCTAACCTTAGGGGTAAGGCCGTTACGGGATCGAGTTCGCACGACCAAAGAACTCGACCTGGGTTCGACTTCGACCATATCGATTGACGAGGAAATGTTTTGAGCCAACCGAGACCGATCTATTTGATTGATCGTGTCCAAAGGGCACTAGTGACAGACCCTCGCAATTATATGACAATCGAGGTCGTCTTGGTTCGAGCAAACTTAAACGTGATTTGACTTAGTGTCGGTCATGGGTCGAGAGCGCGTAATCCCAGAGAGCCACCCGTTAGCCAGAGATAAGCTAAAGTTGCGATTGCTCGATTTTAGTAATTTCTTGGAATTCGGGCCCGGGAATCGAGAATTTTGAAAGTGACAATTTTGGATGGCCGATGACGTTTTTGGCTTGGCCAACCTTGGGGCCACCCATTTCTGCAAAAAAAATGGATTTCGGTCCGGGGCCGGAAAAATTACGGTTTTGCCCCTGTGGGCACCGAGGCTGGATTCGAAGGCCGTTTGAGGTTATTTTTCGCGGCCAAGGTCATTTTGGGGTGGCCACGCACATTCAGAGTGGTTTTGGCCAAAAATTGGAATTTCGACAAAAATTGGAAAAATAATATTATTTTATTCCCGAGACTTTGACGTGGATTTTCGAGGGCTTGCGCGACGAATTTCGCGATTCCGACGCCATATTATGTTGGCCACGCATATATGGAACGCGTATGTGCAAAAATTGGAATTTCGGTTCGGGATCGGAAAATTACGAAAATGCCCCTAGGCCATTTTTGATTAATTCCGAAAATTGGATTTAATTTTGGGATTAACCAAGATGAGTTAAGGCCAAACCAGGTCTGGTCAACCATGGTTAAGAGCAAATGACCATTCTACCCCTAAATTATTGGATTGGATCAAATTTGGGCCCTTGGATTAGGGGCAAAATTGTCCAATGGGCCTAGATTGTGACACTTGGATCCCACTTAAGCTATCTTTGACCTATTTGACCGACCCTCTCTCTCTCCTCTCGGCTATTTGGTTATTTTCCCCGTGCAAGTTCTTCTTCTTCTCGTTTCGGTTCTACGATCCAGTTTACGCCATTTTCGGTCGTTCACGCCGAGAACGATACCGGCGTCTTGCCCATAAGCCAACATCACCGGCAACCATTTCCACCTCGTGCGCCACCACGGCCCAGTTTTTGTCCAAAACAGCCTTGTTTCTCTGTTTTTCTCTTTCCGGTCTGCAACGATCGCCAGGAGCTTCGCCGGAGCTCCGTCGCTGGTCCGTCGACACCCGGCCCGTCCGGCCTCGCCAGTGCGTCGCCGTCCGCGTAGTCCGTACAGCGTCCCGTACGGTACTTTCACCGTCCGTACGGATCACTGTTCACGCCGGACCGTCTTGACGCCGCGGCTATCACCGGCACTCGCCGGCCACCGTCCCGGCCTGTCCGCATGCCGCGGTGTCCGTACGGAGTGTATCGTTCACCGCGTCCGTACGGTACAGCCCATTCTCACGCCTTGTCCGTACATCGCCGGCGACGCTGCTGCCGCTGTCCCGGCCCGTTCCAGCCCCGTTCTGTCTCGCCTTTTTTGGGTAAGTGTCTCCCCCAAAAACTACCTAGGACCTCGGGTATTTCTAGACTCGTTTGAAGTTCGGTTTAAGTGATTTTAGGGACTGTTTGCTGGCTGTGATATGCCGTGTGATGTGCTGTGAGTGGCTGTTCGATACGCAGTTAGTACCATTAGGACCGGCTCGTAATTTTATGAAAGTGCCGTGAAGAGCCGGGAGTGAGATATGGTGATTTTGAGGGCGAAAAAGACTGATTGATGGCTGTGATGTGTGGTTTTAGGTGCTGTGGGGTGCTGTTTGTCGTGTGGTTGGTACTGTTAGGTCCGGCCCGAGATTTTGTGAAATTGTCGTGAAGGGCCTGAACTGATTTGATAACGTTTGGGTGTGGAGAAATGCCAGTTTGTGTGTTGATCGTGTGTGTTGTGATATGACTGTGTGGTTGTGGCTGATTTGGGATTGTGCTTGGGCTGATTGTGGACTGGCCATGTGTCGCGTGTGTGTGGCCGTGAAGTGTGGTGGTGTGATAGTGCATTCGCGTATTGTATTCGCGTGCCAACAATGTGTGATTGGGTGTTCGTGCGGTGTTTGTGTGACGAGGTTGTGTAAATGTGAAATGTGTGTGAAGTGTGTATGTTTGGCAGTGTATTTGTGTGGTGGCGTGGCAAGTGTGGTTTGAGTGGAACGAGGATATGGAAATGTGGTTTGGTTGGAAAGGTCCGTCCTGAGGCGTGTACGTTTACGCGGGACGATGCCGTCCCTGACGAGGTGACGATGCCCGGCCTGACGAGGTGTCGATGCCTGACGTGGTCAGAAGACCGTTGGCCTGATGCGTTTTATGCGGGCGCGGTAGAAGGAAAGTGTGTGTAGGATTCCGTCCTGAGGCGTGTACGTTTACGCGGGACGATGCCGTCCCTGACGAGGTGACGATGCCCGGCCCGACGGGGTGACGATGCCTGACGAGGTCAGAAGACCGTTGGCCTGATGCGTTTTACGCGGGCGCGGTAGTGGTGGAAAGGTTGAGAATGAGTGGGATTTGGCAAGACAAGCGAGAGGATTGTGGAAAGTGACGCATGGTGTGAGTAGCGTGCGAGTGTGTTTGTATCGCGTGATGTGATGCTTAATTATGGGGTAGAAACTGCTAGGCACGGTATGGGACGTGCCCAAGTGGTTTCTGTCTTATAATTGAGGCACGCGCGCGTCTGTGATTCCTTGCTGTGATGTGTTGGCTGTGTTATTGTCTAACGTGCAGGAACGTGCGTGATGGATTCCAGGTAGGGTCGCATGTGATTGTTAGTTTGGCCGATCGTTGTGTGTTATGTGTGTTTTCGTCTGGCGGTACGTGAGTGCCTACGTGGGGTTTGGGGTTGTACACTTATTGAGATTCGTCTCACGGTTGTATAACCGCCACTTTCAAACCCCCGGCCCTAAACCCGGGAAGTGCGCCTTTTCTTTTTGGAAGTCCGGGAGGAGCTGCTTGTTGGTGCCCGGTGGAGGCTGCGGGTGAGTTCCGAGTTTCAAGCCGAGATTCGAAGCGGACGGACGAGGGCGATCCTTAGGTTTTTCCCTAGGGTTTTAGGGGTTGTGTAAATCGGGTTGACCCATAGGGAAGTTAAGTTAACCAGACCTCGATCTTTTGTTTAAACGGTGACTGAGGATGTTAGTCTGTATTTATGTCTGGAATATGATGTTTGTATATTTGGTGTTGTATGAATATGTGGTTGCTTTGGATTGTTCTCGTTGTTCTACCCCGTTGTCGTCATTATTTGTCCGGGGTTTTGTTATTCGCTTCCGCATGTGGCTCTGATGTTTGGGTTGGGTCGGCGACGTTCCTGGGACGTCGCATCATTTCGACCGGAGCAGGGGATGCCGCGAGCTCGTTGGGGTTCGGGGCGTGACAGAGGTCGACCTCGCCCATGGCCGGCGAGGTAGGCCTCGCCGGCGAGCCTCCCCCTGGCCGGTCCGGCCAGGGGGAAGAAGGAAAAGAAAAAGAAAAAAAATATTAAAATAATGCCACGTCA